TGCAGCCCCCCTTTCCAATGGTTCAGCAGCCCCATTGTGCCCCCTGCCGTGGGGAGGCAGAACGGTGGACACGGGGAGCAGTGGCAGGGGAGTTCGCCCCGAGCCTCCATCTGCTGACGGGCTTGGCGACACGGTGCCTGACATCCCAGGTGGCAGGTGCAGACAACCTGGGCATCGTCAGAGGCGCACCCCGGAAGCCGGCTGCTCTAGGAGGGGCCGCTCTCCTCGTCGTTGAGAGAGAAGCATGCTTGTCCTTCCTGGGCTCAGGGCCTGTACAAACCGCACGGCAGTGACAGCTTGTCAGGGAGGGGACAACGCTCCCTATGTCGGCATCCAGAGGGTGGCTCAGCACAGGGTACCGGAGGCGCACTGATAAACGGCAACCGTGGATGCTAGCGTTCCCTCGCTTCACAGGCCCATTTCTGAAAGCAAGCCTGTGCCCCCCGGGGTCACAGAGGCCCCATCCCAGCGCAGACGTGAGGCCGTTGGAGCCTGAAGGGAGAGACATTTGGGTCGTGAGCCTGGCCCAGGCGTCACTAAGGGAAGCCATGAAGAGGAGGGGACAACTTTTATGTGAAGCTGACAGAAAGATCAACGAGATCCAAAAACAAGGCCCTGGACACAGAAGGTGAGAGGATGACCCTGTGGGCCCCAGAGCTGCTCGTTGTCCCCAGTCTGGACCCCGTTCTCCCTGGCAGTTGGAAATCAAATCAACTGAGCATCTCCTGTGTACCAAGCGGCCTGTCTCACTGACCCGTGTGTCAGTCAGGGTGTGCTAGGATGCGCCACACTAACAAACCCCAAATCTTAGAGGCTTAAGGGACAAGGTTTCTTTCTTGTTCCGGGTGAGTGTTCAGTGCGACTTAGCAGAGGAATTCTCCTTGTGGGCCCCTCAGGACCAGGGTGACAGAGGCTCTTCCCCCATCACTGTGGCAGGACAGAGCAACGTCCCGGCAGCTAAATGCTCCTACCCGGATGTGCCACGTGCCACTTCTACTCACAGGTCATTAGCCAATGGCAGTCACACGGCATAACCCCTCCTCCTAAAGGGGGCAAGGAAGGCAATGATCCCGTACGTGTGTCCAGGAGAAGAGGCAGAATGTGTGGGTGACTCTCGAGAGAACCCCTTACACAGGAGCTGTGACTCCCAGTCCACAAACCTGGGAGAGATTTTCCAGAATGCTGCTCAGTTTCCCACTTGGCCCTGTCATACCAAGTGGGTGGAAGATTTAATCTCAGTCATTCTTGGGATTTTCTGCCTGGTCTGTGGATCTAGTCAAGGTCCCAGGATCTCGCACAGACTCAGGATCAGTGGGAGAGAAGATTCAGTGCCATTTGTTATGGGCTGAATTTGTGTCCGCCCAAAATTCTTCCGTTGAAGCCCTAACCCCAATACCTCAGAACGTGACTGTATTTGGAAAGACGGCCTATAAGAAATGATTTAGGTAAAATGAGGCCATTAGGGTAGCCCTAATCCAATCTGACTGGTGTTCTTATAAAGAGAGGGAATTGGGGCACACAGAGAGACACCAGGGATGTGCAGCACAGAGGAAAGGCCATGTGAGGCCACGGTGAGAAGGTGGCCATCTTCAAGTCGAGAACAGCCCTCAGAAGAAACCAACCCTGCTGACACCTCGATCTTGGACTTTAGCTTCCAAAACTGTGAGAAAACAAATGTCTGTTGCGCGAGCCGCCCGGTCTGTGACACGTCGTTATGGCAGCCTGAGCAGACTCACGCACCACTGGTCATGTGTTCACACCGTTACCACTGAGGCCCCAGCGCTCCTGGCCATGGGGACCTGCAGGTCTCAGAGCTCTGCTGTGTGGGTGCCACACACAGGCTGGGAGACCTTTTACGGTGTGAGAACCCTGTGCCAGAGTCTTCCTCCCTACACTCACAAGGGTGCCACTTTACCTGGAGCCTGGCCTCCCTAGTACCCGGTCCCCAGTGCTCAAGGCCACACAGACCTCATTCCCAGGGGATCACCACTTGTTTCTTCCCACAGCCCTTTCTGCCCTCTGTAACCCAGGACATTTGAGAACCGAGTCAGGAAGTCGTCCACAGCTGCAGGCTTCCCTGGGCAAGGCAGCCCAGGACCAAACTCCCACTAACGCAGGAGGGAGGAAAAGGGGGAAGTTTAGGAAGGAAAAGCAAAAATTGGTATCTGGAAATACTATCCCATCTCCCTCAAACGACCCCTTGACGGGTATATTATGATCACCCCATGTTTCAGTTAGGATTGAGTTTGCCGTAAACAAAATAGTTTCTTTCTGTCACATAAAAATAAGTCTGTTGAGAGCAGTCCCGTGCTGGGACAGCAGTGCCCTCACCATTAGGGACAAAGATTGTTTTGTCTTTCTACTTGACCGTCATTGGTGAATAGCTTCCCAAGTTCACCTCATCATCCAAGATGGCTGCTGGAGATTCAGTCATCACATCTGAATTCCAGGAAGCAGGAAAGAGAAAGACAGGAGGACAAAAGAGCACATTTCCTCCCTGAGTCAGCTCCCTTTAAGCAGCCTCTGCTAAAAAAAGTCTCTCCTACTTCTGCTAACATCCCACTGCCAGAACTTAGTCACAGGAGTGACTGCAATGGAGGCAGGGAAATGTCACCTGTTACCTAGGTGCTTCACTGACCCACAAAACATCAGGGTGCAGTTGCTAAGGGAGGAAAGATTGGATATCTGCCACCCCTGTCACCCAACTTAGGGTCAGAGAGAAGACAAACTTGCCCAAGGTCCATGGCCCACGAGCAGCAGCTGTAGGGAAGTGAGACTAGAACTTGGCCACATATGGTTCCAGAACCCCCCATCCTGGCCACTCTTCTGCATGGTGTCTCTTGCCACCCAGCCACAGCACACAACAGGTCGTCCTGGCAGAACAGACACGAGCAGGCCCTTCCCGGAAGATCGGAAACTTGAACAGCACACAGTGCTGGTGATGCTGTGCTGGTACAGTCTCTCTGAAGGGTGTGTTGGTTCAGTTTAGGGTCAACTGTGAGTGAGAGGAAAATCCAGAGTGGTTTAAACAAGACAGATATTTCTTTCTTTCTCATATCCAAAACCTCTGAAGGCAGGAAGTCCAGGGCCATCACAGGTGCACCACAGTGTCAGGGACATGGCTCCCTCTACCCTGCTGCACTGCCCGAGAGCTTCCATTCCCAAGATCACCCTGTGATTCAAGATTGCTGCCACAACTCCTGCCATTATAACCACATCCCAGTTAGCAGGGAAGAACAGAGCCTACCCTCTTTCTTTAAGGGAGTTGCACGCACACTTACATCCCAGGGGCCAGAACTTAGTCATGTGGCCACACCCACCTGCAAGAAAGGCTGGAAATTGTAGTCTTTATTGCAGGCATCTGTGTATCCAGCTAAAAATCAGGGATTCTATTACAATGGAGGAAAAAGAGAACATCTATTGGAGGACAGCTATTAGTCTCTTCCAGAAGACTATGAGACTAATTAAAACCAATTAAGACTGTGTGCTCTAACAATTCCACTTGCATGAGTTACCAAATGCATATTTATACGGATTTTTCTCGCTGCGTTGTTGCAAAATCTATTGGACACAAAAGTCCCTCCCGAGAAGACTAGTTAAATTGCCATGTATCCATAACGCATGCAGCTCTCACACCTGACACGGATGATCCCAAGATCAACGGTCAAGTGGAGAACACAAGCTATGGAACGTTTACGCTCCCAAACAGGGGCTACGACACACACACAGGTCAGGGAGACCCTGGCCTCACGGTGCAGGGCGTTCACACACACACACACACACACACACACACAGGTGCAGGGCGTTAACACACACACACACACACGTCAGGGAGACCCTGGCCTCACGGTGCAGGGCGTTAACACACACACACACACACAGGTCAGGGAGACCCTGGCCTCGCGGTGCAGGGCGTCACACACACACACACACGGTTACGGAGGAGACGGGGAAACTGAACGTCCACGTGGCGGAGGTTCACCTCTCACTCTACACCCCCTTGCACTGCAGGAACTGGGTTGTTTTTGCCATTTACATATACCTCCTAAGCAGACTCGAGCCTCTTCTGCGCGGCTCCCTGCCGACTCCGCTGTTTGCTCAGTAACCGCACTGCGCAAACCCAGGCTGTCGCTCTCACGTCACACTGCGCGTGCGTCAAATGCTGCGGGTCTTGAGCCCAGCTCTGGATGAGACGGTTAAATCCCCGGCGTCTGGCCCTCAACACCTGCCCTGCTCGGAAAGCCCTGCAGGATTTCCTTCCCCGCCTGACAGCCTTCTGCCAAAACTGTGAGGTCGCAGCAAAGCGTGCCACTTGGGAGAAGCCTGCCAGGACACCCCCGGCAGCCCCGCGGTCCCCTGGGCCGGAGTCCCACTCACTGGTTGTCTTTGCCCCTGACAGTGCCATGCCCGCAGACAGCCCTCTGGGCCTGGGTCCCGGGGAGCCTGGCACACTGGCCCCACAGCCATGAGCCGTGCTGGAGCTCGTGCCTCAGTGCCCTCCCAAGAAAGAGGGCCGGCTGGGGAGGGAGGCGCCAGCCCTGACCCTTGGCACCCCTATTTCCTAGTCCTTACAGAGCTCCCTGCGAGAGAGGCTTTCTCATCCCCATTTTACAGCTAGCGAAACCAGAGCTTCAGGAGGGCAAGTGGCTGCCCAAGACTGGCGTAAGGAGCAGAGAAGGGAAGGGACCCACAGGGTGGGGAGGCACTGGCTCACAGAAACCATGCATCTCTTTCCATGTCTGTCTCCTCTGCTCCAACAGTGGCCCCGTGGCAGGGACGGCTGGGATCGGATTTCTCTGCGCTTCTCCAGCAGCCAGGTGGGGCCTGCAGCCTGGCCCACGTTCCTTGTTGAGCAGGTGTAGGAGCCCTCGGGCTCCCAGGGCACGGGCTGTGCAAGGACCTGCCGGACCTCTGAATGTCACAGCTCCTCACCCCGGCCCTCCGGCTCCCGAGAGGAACCAGCCCCACTATTCCTGCAGAACCTCCACAGTCACACCTTCTGCTCCTTTTCCTTTTTATTAAAAAATAGATCAAGAAAATATACACACTTCAGCCCACCCGCCAGAGTGGGCTTTGCGGAGGCCAAAGTGCCAAGGGGAGGGGGCAGAGGGCTGAGGAGGGCCAGACGAGTCCTGGGTGGCCAGGTTTTCGAGAAAGGAGGTGTCCTCGGCCAGCCAGGCCTGACCCTGGGAGATCAAGTCTGGGCCATGTCGCTGAGCAGGGCAGAAGGGGGAGGTGGCCTCCAGCTAGAGCAGAGGTGGCAGAGGGCAACTGGGAGCCTGGAGAACAGGGCGAGGCCTGCACAGGGCTGCCACCCTCACAAGGCTCTGTCACCTCATCCTCCCCGCCCGGGGACTCTGCGTTCCCTGGCCTCCTCTCCAGTCTGCCCTCCACAGGGCCCAGCAGGTCTTCCAGCCAGGGCGGCCGCACTCAGGCATTGATAGCCTTCCAGCGCTCGCTGTCCGTGCTGTTGATGCTGCCGGTGTGGCACGGCATGGAAGCAATGTCGTCCAAGTAGGCCACCCCACCGGCCGAATCGAACTGTGTGCTGGCAGCCCCTGCCGCCTCAAGGCCCTCCCGCCGGGCCACAGCGTAGGGCTGGGGCAGGTGCATGTCCGGTTCCTCGGTCTCGTCCACTTGGCATTTGTAGGAGAAGAGGATCTTGGGCTCTGAGCTAGTCGTGAGAACAGAGGGCAGGGGAGCCCCACCACATAAGTCAGGAAAGGGCTTCCCTCACTGGGCAACAACGCCATCAGACAGGGGAGGAAAGGCGCTAACGGCTGTCTAACGCCGCCCCGAGAGGTCCCCATTGCTCGGACTCTAGAGGCCAACAGGACTTGTTCTAAAGCCCGGCCCTCCCCGTCCTGGCTGTGTCGGCGCGGGCAAACAGCTTCTGTGCCTGCTCTCTCATAACACAGGAGCACGGCTCCCACCTCGGCAGGCTCCTTGTGTGGGGAGAACAGAGGTCAGTTCTGAGCCTTAGCCAGGACATGGCCCAAAGTGCTAATAAGCAAAGTGGGCTGTGACCTCCTGCAGCTCTGACTACTGCCCACTGTACGCTTACCCAACCCCTCAGTCCTCAGCATAACTTGGGGGAAGCACTGCCCCCATCTTACAAAAAGGAACCTGAGGCCAGCGACACAAATCATGTGTGCAGGGCCCCACCCAGGTCAGGGCTGGGATCCAACCGAGCCCTTTTCACTCCACCTCTGACGGCCGTCCCAGCTCTACCGTGCGGGGCAGATCCCCACCTCTCCCTCAGACCTGGCAGGTGGGGAAGGAGGAGTGGGGTGGGGGCAAAATGCCCACGCTCCCGCCACAGCAGAGGCCAGGGACCAACACTCAATGCCACATGTCCTTAGCATCTGTCTCCCTGACGCCTCCAACACACAGGTGCACAAAAGTGCCCCCAACTCACGCTGAAATACACACTGGACCTCCCCAACCCTGCTCCTCACCCAGTCACCCCCACTAGAATACAAGCTCCCAGTGCAGGGTCTGTGTCTACTCTGCTCCCCGTTGTGTCTGCAGCTACACAGTGCCCAGCACACAGCAGGTACTCAATAAATGCTTGCTGAATGAATGAAAAACAGCAAGTGCAGAACAATGTGCACAGCCGCTCTCTCTTGTAGAGAAAGCATATATGCCTGTGTGTGTTGCATACATAGTGTGTATATGTATGTGTATGCTAAATGTATGTGTGTTATGTGTAGGTATGCGTGTATGTGTATGTATATGTGTGTGAGTATATATGCACGTGTATGCATGGATGTATTTATAAGCATGCATGTATGTGTATCTGTGTATGCTCTGTATGCACACGCTGCCGCCTCTATTCTGGAGGCCAAGCAGGCACAGGGAGCAGGGACACTCCAGACCAGACGCGCATGCGCGGGAGAAGGCGCAGTGCTGCCGGCAGCCACGCGGGGGCGCCCGCGGCCCCGGCACAGCGGGCGGGGTGCGGGCCCAGAGCTCCTCTCCACCCCCTGCCTGCCGGGGGCGCTCTGGGAAAGACTCACCCGAAGAAGCCCCGGAGGAAGGCCACGTAGATGAGCGGTGCGAAGAAGCTGAAGTAGAGGAACGTGGTGGCATCTACGCAGCTGGAGAAAGGGGAGGGAGGGGCGCATCGGGGCGCGGCCTCGGCTTGGCCTCCCCCTACCGACCTAGGCGCCCTGCCTCCCGCTGAGCCGGCGACACCCCGTGTCCTGCCCGCCCACGTCCCAGAGTCCCTCAGTGATGTCACCCCATGTCCCAGAGCCCCTCGGTGATGTCCCCCCGTGCCCCGCCCACGTCCCAGAGCCTCTCGGTGAGTCCTCCCCC